CTTTGTCATGGGGTGGGGGGCCGTAGACGGGCGGCTCTTGGGGGAAGAGACTGTCTTTTTGGTCTAGGTCTGTACAGCGCCTGGCACACCGATGCACGAGTGGGCTCCGCAGTGCTCCATCATACAATTAAAATAACAATATCCAATTACACAAACAATACCAAAGGCATCTCCAGGGCAGCTCCCGCCCAGTTGTGAGAGCTCAGGCGCAGGCCTGCCCCTCTGTACTCACACAGCGGAGGTGCAACCGGGGCCAGTTTGGCAGAGCACCAGGAGAAGCTCGTTTCACGTGCCGGCCCCTTCTCTCAGTGCACCTGGGGAAGGAGCTGGCGCCACGTGACCACCCCCAGACCCTCCCAAGGTCCACAGAGGGGCGCCTAAGAGCTACGCACTCAGCAGAGGGGAGCACAGAGCCAACGACGCACAGTGGCTAGAACAGGAGAACGGCGAGCGCTGCCTTGAAACAGGAACGTCCGTCAGACAGGAGGCAGGGGAGAGGGGATGGTCATGTGCCGGCCTACTGACGGGGGGAGGAGCAAAGGGCCCAGAGATTCAAGGGGGCCGGGAGCTCTCGGCTGCTGCCACTGCTACTGCAGCAGGCAGAGCCCCGGGCCCCTTTGAACTGCTGCCGGAGCTCCGCGCCGGGCACTCCGTGAGCCTCTGAGGGCTGGGGGAGGGGAGGTGTGCTGCGGTCTGACTGCCGAGCGTCCCCCCCTTCCAGCGGTGCAGAGATGCCTGCCCCCTACTTTGCCCTGGGGCCCACAAGCTGTCAGCTCCCCTGGTCCTGTGGTTAGGGCCCCAGGCTATGACTCTGAAGAACTGGGTTTTGTCCCTGTGCCCCCAAAACCTTGGGGCCCAGTCACTTCCTTGCCCTCTGGGGGGGGGAGCCTGTTTCGGCTGCACTACGGTGTGGAAGAGCGCGGAGGCTCTGTCACTAGCCAGGGACCCTGTCATCTCCGAGGTAAACACGCGGCAAGGCCCCGAGGGAGCGGGCCCCCCGCCAGCCACCCTCCAGGAAGCGCTGTTGCGCCGAGCGTGGAGGTAAATCGGCCTGAAGGGTCATTTGGTTGGAACGTTGCAAACACCTGCCGAGCGGTGCTCAGAAAGCCACCGCTGGCTCGTCTGTAGCTGCCAACGTAGCAGCAGCAGCACCAAGGCCGGGGCCACCGCGGCTCGTCTCAGCGGGGAAGTACTAGAAGCAGCTACAGACAGGCCCGAATCTGGGCTGCGGAGGGGGCAAAGGGAGCAGTTGCTCCGGGCCCCGGCCATTTAAAAGGGCCAGGGGCTCCCAGCTACTCCTGCGGCAGCAGCTGGAGCCCTGGGCCCTTTAAATCCCCACCGGAGCCCCATGTGGAAGGGTTGGGGTGGCACTGAGGGATGGGGGGGGGAGCCTAGCCCCGCCCCTTCCTCCGGAGGCTCCACCCCCTCCAGGGCCTGGAGCTGAGCCCCTCCACCTTGACCAGGGCCCGGCAAAGTCTGGCACTAGCCCTGCCAAAGACCTTTCTTTGGCTCTAAACAAAGGGCCAACGGAACGTGACAACGCGCTCTCGGGGGCGTACACCCCCTTCGTGTCAAGGGAGCGAAGCTGATTTAGACTTCCTCAAGACCTGGTCTCATTTAATGTCGAGTGCCATGCCGGGTGCCATGCCGGGTCAGGGGCTGGTCTCTTTGCTAGCTGAGTGGGTGGGCAGAGCACACCAGGACCAGGGCAGGCCTGGCCCTCATGGGAAACGGCCAGCATAGCAGGTGCTGAGAACGAAACCCTCCCTCCGCAGAACAGGCCCGGCAATGCAAGTGTCCCGGCCGCCCCGACCGCAGCACCGGTGGAGGCTGGAGGAGAGGGAAGGAACTGCCTCTGGCATCAGTCTCTGTGCCGCGATTCCGTGGGCGAGGCTGACGTCCAGCCCTAGGGGCCAGACTGAGAAGCGCCCAGCAGCTTTCAGATGGTAACGGCTGCCCCGGCAGTGAACTGGCTCCCCCCAGGAGATAAACGCTCCCCCCGCCTGCCTTCCCCTCCGGACCGGACCCGAGGTCGCAGCTCAGCTGCAGAAGGGACACACTCACGATGATCACCAGCCTGTCCATCAAGCGGTCCAGCTTGGTTTTCTTCATCTTGATCTTCCCGCAGTTTTTCATAATTTTGGAATCAAACCCTGGGTGAGACATTTTAGAAAGGAAAATAAAACGTGGGGCCCCAGCAATTGTTCGGCTGCTGCAGGATCATGCCGGCTGCATCGCATCCGCTTTGCTCTCCAGACGGAGGGGAAAGCCTGACGCGTGCCCCGCCAGGACAGGAACCCACTCCTGGAAAGCTCCTTCCACCATCCCACAGCAGGGCCTCCTAGTTTCATTCCCAGCTCTGCCACTGACTTGCTGGGTGACCTTGAGCAAGTCAAGGCACCTTCGTGCCTCGGTTTCCCCATCTATAAACTGGGCATAGCTATGTTTAGCACTTCATGCTGTCATCGGCGAGCACCAGCGACAGGGAACTCTAGAAGTGTTACTTGCGCATGGATGGCCAAGCTTTGGATTGAAGGGCTGTGGAAGCCCTTGCCAGCAGCATGTGTGTATGGGCTGAACCTCTCTAATCCGGCACTCTCTGGTCCGGCAACCTCCGTGGTCCGGCATGATTTTAGTTAGTCAAAGTCCACTTCTCATGGGTGTGGACAAGTTTATCATGGTCCCATAAAGTTTTACAGCCACCAGGCCTAGCTCTCAGCATTCTGGGCTGTTGTTTAGCTCTAAGTTACCCCTCCAGGTCTTCTCAGAGCCCAGCAAGCAGGGGCAATGTTGGTGATGCTGCTAGACAATATGGGCCTCCCATGGTCCGGCAAATTTTCTGGTTTGGCGCCGGTCAGGTCCCGAGGGTGCCGGGCTACAGAGGTTCAGCCTGGGCCTTAATGTAAACAAAAATCTGGCCCAGGGTACCGATGGCATTTCGAGTCTGCCCATCCCAGCACTTTGGTGTAAGTCAAGAGAAATCCAGTAAACACCTGCCACTGGCCAGAACCGTTCTCACCCCCAGGGTCGGGGAGACCCAACCAAGAGCTGCAGAGCTGGGAGCCCATGGAGCCCTCAATCCCACCATGGCTGTGTGACATCAGGGAACGGGGCAGAAGCATTTAGAGCCACCCGGCCATAGGACGGTCCAGGGTGGCTGCCCCATGCTCTGAGCTTTGGGGGGGGCCGTGGTGGCTGCCTATGGACAAGACCTTGGGGATTATTTGGGGCTGGTGGCCTGGCGGGGCAGCGGCAGGGGTCAGCCCTTCGCCCACCTCACATTCACCATGGGGATGGAGGAGCTGCCAGCCCCCAAGTAATCTCCCAGGCCACATTGCTTGGGGGAGCGGGCTTCGGACAAGAGGTGTCGCCTCGGCCTCTGTCATTACGGCCGGGATTTAAGGAGCTCTCCAAATGGCGGAAGAACCTTCACAGAGTCAAGCCAGCGGGAAGTTTCTGTCTCCTGCCTAACACGGGCCATAGATTCCCCCGGTAATTCCCGTCTCAGGCCCCTATCTTGTGCCTGAGCTGCAGCACAGTTCTGGAAAGTTCCCGCTCTTGCTTTAAAGACTCCGTGATGGAGACACCAGGGCACCCTGGGGTCAGCAGGCTCGACGGTTGACGTAAAAACATGCCTTATTTCTAGCCTGAACTGATTCCCGCCCATCCACTAGCCACGGAGCCTTGTTATACCTTTGTCTGCTAGACAAAAGCAGCCCTCTGCTATCAGTAATCTTCCTTGGTAGGTACCTGTAGCCCAGGATCAAATCATCTCGTACCCCCTCGCTGACACATGGATTGGGTTTCCTAAGGCCCTCCCTGAAAAGCAAAATTCAAGGGAGCTGGAGGATGTTTATGTAACAGTCAGTAACCTGGGGCAGGTGTTTGCATGACCAGCAAGGCGGCTCCCATGAATGAGAACAGCACCTGCCGTTACTCTTGTTACAAGAGCTACCACCAGTCCGCGGGAAAGGCACCGGGAAGGAACGTCCAACCGGTCTGGATACTATTTTGCAATGCTCTGGCGGCTCCTCGGCACGTGTGGAAGCCACGCACCTGCATAGTGTGTGAATGGGGTGCCGGCACCGTGGGAAAAGGAGTGAAGTTTGGCTGAGGGGTTAAAAACAGAGGCCAGGTCTACGCTAGGGGGAAAGTTGATCTCCAGCTCAGAGAATAGCATACTGGAATCGATGTACAATAGGTTGAATTTCCTGGCTGAATTTCGGCATCCCCACTGCAAGAGGCCAAGGGGAGAAACTCTCCCGTCGACTTCCCTTACACCTCGTGACCTGGTGGAGCGCCGGAGCCAACAGGGGCATGATCTGCAGTCAATTTAGAGGGTCCTTACTAGACCTGCTAAATCAACCCCCGGAAGATGGATCTCTGGAGCGTGGATCTCCTGGCAAGTGGAGACAAGCCCTGGGGGACTATTCTGCTTGCAGCAAGTCGAGTCCTCCAGCAACAGCCTGTGGTTGGGGCTTCACAGGAAGCCAGGGACCCATCTACTGCTCTGTGCTGCCCCAGCCAATTAAGCTAAATAACTGCGGGAGAGAACTAGGCCTCTCGGGCCCATCCAGTGAGCAGCATACACCCTGGCAGTGCCTTTGGCCGGCTGCCTTCAAGGGAGCTCTGCTGAACGCATTTCAATGGTGCTAGGGCTGATTTACCCCAGCTGGCCCATTGTGTCTCTCTGCCCTTTTGTCCCTGCCCCCTCCAGGGGCTGGGCAGGGTGGCGCTGGGGGCTGCGCAAGCCGCTGGCACTCACCCGCATAGATGACGAGGCCGTAGCAGACCTCGGTGTTGCGTATCCGGCAGCCACGCAGCAAGATCTTCTCGCTGTCCAGCGAGTACTTCTGGCCCCTCCACTCCAGTGTGCCGATGAAGCTGTGCATGCGGCTGTTGGGCTCCTCGCAGGTCACTTTCCCTGGGACCCAGACGGCAAGGACGGTCTGCATCACGCCTGGGCTTTCTGGGGAACAGCCTCCCCCTCCACCCAACCCCTGCCTGAGCACGGGCTTTGGAAAAAGTCAGGCTGGGGAGAGAAGGGACTGGCCCAGGGACCAGCTGCAGGAGGGCCTGTACCAAGGGGTGGCAGTTGGGGGGGGTGCTGGAACATGGGAGCATGAGCTAGCCCCAGTGATCTCACGGGCAGGCCTTAGGCATCAAAGCACTGGTCAGACATTTCCCCTCCACCCAACCCCTGCCTGAGCACGGGCTTTGGAAAAAGTCAGGCTGGGGAGAGAAGGGACTGGCCCAGGGACCAGCTGCAGGAGGGCCTGTACCAAGGGGTGGCAGTTGGGGGGGGTGCTGGAACATGGGAGCATGAGCTAGCCCCAGTGATCTCACGGGCAGGCCTTAGGCATCAAAGCACTGGTCAGACATTTACCCAGTGGTCCCCAACGCGGTGCCTGCAGGCGCCATGGTGCCCGCCGGGGCATTCGTGGGCGCCCG